AAGTTACAACCAAATCGAGCATATATAGTTCTGTAGATATAGGCCTTTAATAGAAAAGTGCCCCTTTAATGGATGTCACATGGCGTTTGATGACGCCATCACTTGAATTTTCATCTGAAACACATCCCGGTATGGGTGTAGTGAATTGTTTCTTTTAGTATGCAAATGGCCCAAGTATGTGGCCCGGTGGTTAATAATAAAGACTCCCTTTTTAGCGTACGGAAGACTGTCCCATTCTCCATAACTCCTGACGCGGAACGCGACTATGAAAAGGTTAAGCGTGGTTTCCACCACCCTCACTCTTCACTTTGCTTTGATGCGACGACATAGAAGTCGGCTACACTCCACTGCTCTATCTTCTAGCTTCAATATCACCTCTTATATTTCACGGTTACGTGCAGCGGACGAGTCCACGTAGCCAGTGTAAGTTAAGTAATATTATTTAAGCTCTGCAGTTTGCGAGCAAGTTTTTATTTGCTTCGTCTTTTGTGAGCCTCGGCAGTAGCAGGCCATTTTTATTTGGTGAGCCTACTCATAATAAATATATTTACCACCAAAACTGGTGACCCGGACGTTGAACAGATGATTAGATTTTTATTCGTAGCCGATTCTAGAGCGCATAAGTTTGCAAATTATCATAAGCAAGAAGATAAGGCATATTCTTTAAATCTTGATTTTGTGGTTATTCGCGGTGCTAAAGTCTACAACTTAGTAGGACCTACTATCCGTAAGTTAAATTCATACAGTGCCAGTGACCGTGTAGTTGTATGTCTAGCAGCCGGCATTAATGATCTAACTAAATTTCAATACGACGCCACACACGAATATCGTGTATTGAAACCTTCTAACCACACCGCGGAGAGCTTATTTCTTGAACTGGATCATTTCAAGCGCGCAATACAAACCGCTAGACCTAATACCTCAGTTGCATTTGTCAAAATTCCTCCTATGTCATTCGCTAAATTCCAGGCAAGCAAAAAGCTTCGTGTGCCACTCATTTCTAAAGACGACATTCACAGCTTCCAGCGCAACCACAATGCAGTAGTTGATGAAGCTAACGATAGAATTATAGCACACAATAGCATTCCCCAGAACGGCATTCTGTTGAGAACTTTGTCTTGGCACAACACAGTGAGAAAAGTAGAAAAGAAAACTTGTCGCGAAAAAACAACGTGTAACAAAAGAAATCACTTTGCACATTTGTACGACGGTCTGCATGGTGACTCCAAACTGAAGCAACGCTGGTTTTCAGAAATGCACAGATCTTTTAGGGTTGATTACACCGCATTGCAACAATTAGAGTAATATTTCGCATCAGTCACCATAGCATCCAATTTAATTATTTGTGAGTAAAGATCCTCAAGTCAAAATGGAATCTGATACCAAAACAGTACCAACTGCCGCCGTGAGTCTAAAATTACCACCATTTTGGCCACATGATCCAACAATATGGTTTGCTCAGGTTGAAGCTCAATTCCAGACTCGGCAGATCACTAGTCAACTAACAAAATTTTCGTACGTTGTTTCATCATTACAACCTGAAATTGCCCAGGAAGTTAGAGACTTGTTAATTTCTCCTCCCTCTGCAGACCCATATGATAAACTAAAAACAGAACTTATCAAACGTACTTCAGACTCTGAACAGAAACGTCTTCACCAATTATTAATCTCGGAAGAACTAGAGGATAGAAAACCCTCTCAACTTCTCCGTAGAATGAAACAACTTCTTGGTGAAAACCAGTTGGAAGAGAGAATTTTGAGACAGTTATTTTTGCAACGTTTGCCACAGAATGTTCAGTTAATCCTAGCTTCCTCTGGTGATGCTGTCAATCTTGGACAGTTGGCTGTAATTGCTGACAAAATCCTAGAAGTAGCCGTTCCACTCTCGGTATCTACTGTGAGTGCAGGTGCTGAAGCTGCACCGCCCACAGTAACGCCGCATTCTAAACACGAGTCCCGCCTAGATGAACTACAGGCACAAGTTTCACAGCTCACAATGTTAGTTCAATCATTAGTGACTAGTGGATCCCACAGCGGACAAAAAGTTTACGCCAGTCGCGAAAGTTCTCGAGAACGATTAAAAAAACGTGATCAAAGTCGTTCCCGTTCACGAAGTAGATCTAGATACCAATCTAAAACTCCACCCCGAGCAGGCTCTGAATGTTGGTATCATTGGAGATTTGGGGACAAAGCACTGAAATGCGTCAAGCCGTGTAGTTTTACCGAGTCGAAAGATAATTTTCCTCAGGGAAACTAGAACACAGGCAACTAGAGACGGCGAGTATGCCTGGCAAATCTGAAAGTCGTCTATTTTATGTCGCCGATAGAGTATCTGGGACCAGATTTTTGATAGACACGGGCGCCGAGGTTAGTGTATTTCCGCCTACCAACTCAGACAAAAGGAACTCAAGTCCTTATACTTTACAAGCAGTAAACAAATCCAAAATAGCTACGTATGGAGAAAAATCTATGACCATTGATATAGGTTTAAGGCGTACATATAAGTGGATTTTTGTTATTGCCGATGTTCCTTTGCCGATAATTGGTGCAGATTTTTTGAGACACTTTTCACTGTGGACATTAAAAATCGAAAACTCATGTATACCATGCCTTACTCAACCAATTTCAGGATATAACGAGACCAAATTATACTGAAACTGCCATTAAGCATACGGTTACACATCATATCCGCACTAGAGGTCCGCCAACACATTCTAAACCTCGACGGCTAGCCCCGAATAAATTACCAATTGCTAAAGCTGAATTTAACCACATGCTAGAATTAGGCATCATTCGTCCATCGGAGAGTGCTTGGTCATCTCCGTTATATGGTTCCAAAGAAAACGAGAGATTGGAGACCTTGTGGTGATTATCGTGCTTTAAACAACTTAACAATACCAGACAGATATCCTGTTCCACACATACACGATTTCACTGCTTCTTTGCAGGACAAGAAAGTCTTTTCCAAAATCGATCTCGTGAAAGCATATCACCAAATTCCTATTGAACCATCAGACATTCCTAAAACCGCAATCACAACTCCTTTTGGTCTATTTGAGTACGTTCAAATGCCATTCGGTCTTAGAAATGCTGCACAAACCTTTCAGAGATTTATAGATCAAGTACTCCATGGACTAGATTTTGTATACGCCTACATAGACGACCTGTTGATAGCTAGCGTAGATGAACAAGAACATCAAGAACATATCACACATATTATTAGCAACAGCTCTCATTGGTTATGTACACAAATTTCAATCGTGGACGTATTGTGTGTGCCCTAACCATTTTGTCCTAGGTCCACGATTGCCGGTGTTTACATACTCACACATACACCCTTTCTTCTTTATACTATAGGCCCCTAGCGGTGATATATTTATTTCTCAATGCACATTTGGTCAAACTAGAAGTAAAGACCAAGCAGCTTCATTCTCTGGAATCAAAAAGTTGCCAAAGGCAATTTCCAAATCACACAAAATAAAAAAATGTATGTGGTACTCAATCAGTGCAAAACATGCGGTTCAAAGTATTTGATATAAATGAACAAACTTCATGTTCATACAGAAAATAGCTTGTACTGTAATACCTGATTACATCACAATAACGTCACATTAATATGTACTACTCTGTATCGGGATTGACGCTCAGTCCAAGGTTCAAGTTCATAATATGAACAGTTCCGAAGAAAGGTCACAGTATTGTCCAATCGCCCCAACATAGTGAGATTATCAGCCTGATCACCCAACAGAAGTCTTTAAAAACATTAGAAAGCTCCCCAAATTGTTCCTAAATACTAGCAAATTCATATTTATTCAAAAAGTTTGTTAATTTGAGCTGTTTTGAGCTCAAATACCAATCCGCCCGGGCGAAAAAGTAATCTGCCTGGGCAAAATACTAATCTGCCAGGGCGAAACAGTAAAATCCACATTGGCGAAATAGTAATCCTCCCGGGTGAAATAGTACTCCGCTCGGCGAAATAGTGGACTAGGTTTTGTGGGGGGGGGGGGGGGGGGGGGGGGGGAGGGGGGGGGGGCCGGCCCCATATCCTTAATATGCTTCCGTTCTTCTCCAAAGGACATGTTGTACACGTTTTTCTTCTACTATATGATGTTGGCACTTTTTTTCAATCTGATCGATAACTTAACACACACACAGACTAGCACATATGTTTATGGTATAAATCGAGGATTTTCTTTTGTTCCTCTGCCCTTTTCCTTTGTTTGTACTCAAACTTTTTCGCAACAGCTCTCATTGGTTTTGTACACCTTTTCCAACCGAGGAGTCCTCAATTTGGTTTCTGTTCTCGATTCACCGATGATGTTGCACGTTCGTGTCCTCGATTTACACCATAAACACGCGCCACCACAGACATAGGGAAGTGTGTATTTGCCTGCAATCGGGGACCCCCTATTGTCCCTCTTTTGTTTAGACCTACCATACGTTTTGTACACGAATCCAAATTGGGGACCTCTCAGGAATTGGGGACCCTATTGTCCTCCATTGTTCAACGTCCCCTATTGAATGCAGAAACAAACTCTCTTGTTCTACTATATTCCCGAGGACAAAGGTTTGTGTTTCCGTTAGTCCCTGTAATATAACACACTCCCATAGACTAATCACACAAACTTACTACAGAGGTCCGTTTCTAACAAAAGACCCAACTCCCGAGGACTGAAACTAAGGATCTGTTGTTCTTCCTTTGTGTATCGGTCTTCAGGGATTATGTAGAACACGTACACCCGCACAAATGTGCCGAATATTGACGACATCATCATATGTCACATGACTTAACATTTCGTTTTAAAACCATACATGTACATAAATACAATGTTTATAAGGTAATGTACATTGACACGCAGAATATACTCTGTGCACAGTGAATGTTAAATGAGTGATCTGCTTAGTAATTCAGATATGGATATGAAAAACAGGTAGTACTTTGATGGGCCATTAAATCCTTTATAGTGCAGTTTTTTAATTATATATTTTTTTCCCCAAAGGTCTTCATGTTTTCCCTTCGTTCGTCTTTTACGAGTTGACTTTTTTGATGAGCCTGACACTGATAGTGGTTGCAATGAAGGTGAGTCAATCTAACATGATTCAATGTGTGTGTATGTCTTGTCATCTAGTAGTCAGTTTATTTGGCCATATTCATGTTTCTCTGTTTGTTAGGTAGTTGTCGTCAATACTTCAACAACAACAACAAAAAAGGCGTCTTAATCATCTTTTATGGCTTTGTTTTGCATTTATTCAAGAATCTTGTTTTTAATGGTGTTCTGCTGATGAAAAACACTTACCAGCATAAAATATCCTTTAAAGCTAAGTAATCAAACAATTGAAAAACAGGGCGCCCCAGTATTTTTAGAGAGATAGCAGGAAGACAGACCCTTCCAATTCGTACAGGTTTTACTTGATGTGTTTTTAGCTTGAATATGTACCTTATGTATGGGAGACCTGTGAATTCCACTGAATGGGCCACCCAGTTAAAATAAATAAATATATAAATAAAAATGTGGATGTTTCTAAAAAATTCTTTTCATAGATCTTCAGCTCGCCAGATTAATGTGTCAGCTCCAGTTTTGTGCAAAAAAAATTGCTTAGTATGTGTGCTACTGTGAAGCAGTGGCAAGTGGTGTATTTTTCATGACAGTACAACTGATGACCTGTTTTTGATTAGCAAGCAATTTTAGTGCTCAGAATATTTTGCCGAGGAGCTCCGTAAATTTGGTCCACATGCTTCTTATTTTTAGAGTGTTGAATACAAATTAAAAATTTCTAAATTTACCTATCCAGTTTTTGACGGCCATCTTTGTTCTCGGCATCTTTCTACCAATGAGTAACCATCATATCAAGTGGATTGTTGCCTCAGGACTTGCCCAGGTCAGCGAGTTCTCCTTTGTCCTTGGCAGCCGAGCAAGACGACTAGGCCTGCTTTCCAGGGAGGTAAGAATTAAGTCTAGAGACCTGACCTCATATCATAAATGTAGATGAGGACAGGATTTTTTTAGATGATTCGGCTACATAATTGACGCAGCTATTGCTTTTGTGGTTATTTTATTTTTTCCCTTTTTTTTTTTTAGCTTTTTTGAGTACATACTCCAAAACAGCTCATGTTGTCCATAATTTTTTTTTCCCACTTATATTTTGGCTTTTCCTCAATTTGCGGAAAAGCCTTTGTTTTTGTTCAGATTTTTGTTTTCTTTCTTTTTTATTGTTCTTTTAGGGTGCCCGATCCTGTAGACTTTGTACATGTTTTATTCAGCCCCCCACTTTTGACATAAAACAAAGTCATATTCCAACGTAACTTAACATAGACAAAGACCTTATAGGTGAGAGCCATGTAGAAGAGTGACGTCATCATGACGTCACCAGGGGTCACGAGACATCTTAAAAGTCGTATATATCGAGAGAACCATAAGTCCGATTGGGTTGAAACTTGGTATGTAGGTAGACCAGGATGTGTTACAGGTAAAAATTGAGGTGACGTCATCACGACGTCATCGTGTGATTTTTTATCGATTTTTGAAGTTTTGAAGATTATCACCATATCTCTTGAGCCAAACATGCTAAATTCAAAATTCTTTTTGTATTAGTTTTGTTAAGTAATGGGTATATGCACAAAATGTTGAAAACGTCACGATGACGTCATCAAATATGCGATTTTTTTTAAAACACAAATAAAGGTAAGTCCCATTGTCTTGCAACTTGTTGTGTAGGTAGATGCTGTTACTAATATGAAAATACCGAACTGACATTCCAATAACGTCATCGATTGATTGTTATGATTTTTTTAATATTTAAAAATTTATTCTGCTGACAAAATTTTACACTTCTGTTCATCTGATTGACTTCATCCTCCATGCATTGTCCACACTAGTCCACGAATAATATCGCAGTAACGTTACGTACAGAACCCATGACTTCCAAACGGAGCTTAAGTTACTTTGCAGAGCACTTGTTTAAAATACCATTGAGGTAGGAATTTAGCAGTATTTAACTCCAAAAAAATTCTAAAATTTACTGGGAATATGAAAAGATTTAGAGAATCAAATCACGAAACAAAAACAACATAAAATCGGCATAAACAGGACTACACAAGTGATCGGATTTGGGAACACGTTGTGGGTAGTGATTTCATGGCGATTGTGTAGTTAAGGGACCCGTTCCAAATAAAGAGAACATAATCCGGTGATCCGGGAGTCACCCAACTACTAATTAATATATAAAACCAACCAGGGTTTGAAGTTTTTATGGAATCTTTGGGGGTAAAATAGTGATGAAGACGACGAAACGTAACATGAAAAAAATCGTTGATGGCGAGCAGTAGTGCGGCAATGCTGAACCACGTTGGTATCAACTGAAAATGCGTGAGAAAATCGCATTTTCTACCCAAGGATAATGTTCAAACTTACCCCCAAAAATGGATTCCAAAGAATATGAATAAGGCTGCTTAATGTAGAAATTATTTTAAAATGAAAAATACTTTAAGGACTAAAACAAAAGACGGGCCCATGACTACACAATCTCCAATTTCATGCACGTGGACGAAACACCCATTGATTCTGGATGAGTACCAACCGCGCATATGTACTGTGCACAGAATAGCGTTGGGAACCATCGCAGCACTCACGCAGGCCTCACCGGCGACTTGTTAATAGAACAAAATATTTTTCACGGACTTTTCTACGCTGACAGGATGTGGCTAGGTAGGTTGTGTTTATACTCAACAATTGCGTGACGAACTCACCCCATGGGTCTCGCCCATCCATGTCGTCGAGAAACCCAAACGGCCCAGGGAGATACGCATGTGCGCCGACATGCGTAATGTCAATAAAGCCATCAAGCGCGAACGACATGTAACCCCCACCATCGATGACATCATTGCGGACGTCAACGGCTCCACTGTGTTTAGTAAGCTTGATCTTAACGCAGGCTACCACCAGGTGGAGTTGTCCCCAGAGTCGCGTCATCTTACAGTCTTCTCAACACACGCAGGACTGTGCCGCTACAAGCGCTTTAACTTTGGCGTTTGTTCAGCCGCCGAAGTGTTCCAGAATATCATCCACGCTACGCTGCAGGGGCTTGAGGACACCGTATTGTCGTTCCCAAACTCTCCAGCAAACAGTCATCAACATCGCCCATGAGTGGGCACCAGGGAATAACCAAAACCAAACAATATGGTTCCCTGGCATTGATCGTCTGGTTGACCAAACCATCCGCGACTGCCTGCCGTGCCAAGCCACGACAGTGGACACTACACGCGCTCCACTGCAAATGTCGCCGCTCTCCAACGGTCCATGGCTGGAGGTCAGTGTTGACTTCTGTGACCTCCCTTCTGGTGAGCACATCCTAGTCGTCATTGATGACTACAGCAGATTTCCAGAGATTGAAATCGTCTCATCTACATCAGCATGCGCGCGCAGTCATCCCTAAACTCGATCGCATATTCGCAACGTTCGGTGTGCCACAAGTCGTACGCACGGACAGTGGCCCACCATTCAACAGTGGAGAGTTCTCCAACTTTCCGGACTACCTAGGCTTCAAACACCGCACAGTCACGCCACGTTGGCCACGCGCCAATGGAGAGGTTGAGCGGTTTATGCAAACTCTAAAGAAAACCTATTGCACCGCCATTGCTGACCACAAGCCGTGGAAGCAAACCCTCTTCCAGTTCCTTCGAAACTACCGCGCAACCCCACACGCGACCACAGGCACCCCTCCTGCAACACTTCTCTTCGGTAGGCCAATGCGCACTCACCTTCCGGAGACTTCACGCACGACTCCCAATCCCAACGCCAAACACAAAGACAAACGTCGAAAGGCTGCCATGAAGGCATACGTGGACAAGGGTGAACACGCCAAACACAAAAACATCACAGTGGGTGACACAGTTCTCATCCGCCGCAATGGTATGGTTGCAAAGGACCAAACACCATATCACCTTCAACCCTACACCGTCACCGACACGCGAGGATCCATGATCACTGCTCGACGCGGGTCTCACAGAGTGACTCGCAACATTTCTCGCTTCAAGCGCATCAATGATCAACCTCAACCATCACATGACTCAGATGAGTCTGACCTGGATGACATGTCGGATACACCTACCCAAACACCCAATCAAGCACCACGCAGAAACCCACCTCGAGCACGCCACCCACCAGCGCGTTTCAAAGACTATACTGTGAAATAACCTGGCCACTCGAACTACCCACACCAGAGAACACTTGGTTTCAATCATGACAGTTTGACCTTGTATATACATGTAACCGTTCTGATTTTTACATGTAACCGTTTTGATTTTTATGAACATGTAACTGTTTGCACTTTATGTAACTGCTTAAACTTCATATAACTGTCTTGCTCTTATATAACGTGTTTTGACCTAAACCTCCTTTGTTTGAACGAGCACACAGCGCTTACCAAAAACAAACAATTTTGGCATTCCCGATTGTTTTCGTGTTCCAAAAATAAGGAAGCGATGTAGTATTCATAGCCATTCATTTTGTATCAAAGGCATTCCATTACATGCAAGATCACTTGTGTTATTCTGTGGTACTAGGCACTCCATAGACAAGGTCACTGGAGGTCAAATAAAGATGCTTGCATTGCACCACTATCGTACAGTTGTCTATCTCCATCAGTCCAACAAAATTTTCAAGTTATACACTTTAAATATCACAGGCGCAGATAATTTTGAATTCATGTGCGTGTTTGTAGAACATAATGAAATTAGATGGCTTGAATTTTGAAAGTGTACTCTACATGCAACGCACAAGAAGAACACACGCAAACTTAAGCGCGTCATTGACGGTTAAAAAAAACGTGACGGCAAAAAGCATCTGCAGCAAATACGCGCACGCGTTGCGCTGTTTGCGTAGAGCAAAACGACAAGCTCATTTGCTGATCGTGCGTTTCGGTATTGGGCGTATTGGCTTCAATAACGCACCGGCATGGAATACAAACGCAGATATGCAAATAGCCGTACAAAATCCGTATACAATTTCTAGGTCTGCATAGGTTTGTGCAAAAACATGGATGCGCCCAGCAGGCATTACTTTGTACACAGTGTTAGCGCTCTAGTAATTTAATATAGCTCTATGGGTTAAGCGGACTTCGATCCTCCTTGCCGGATCGGATGCCCCTCGGATCCCCCTTGCGGGATCTAGTGTAAACGCGGTGTAATAAACAAACTGCATAGAAACCAAAGCTGTGTTGTAGAGCTGTTTTACATCTGTAATTTAACCCTCCAAAATGCCATTTGCCAGGGCACTCAGAATAATTTCCCTTTGGCTATGGTTAGTTCAGACATTGGTCTTTTCATATCTGGTGAGAAAATCTTGGGTTAGGTATATCCTTTGTGCAGTAGCACTCCAACAATGGTAATTTTCACAAAAACCTTAAAAAGTGTATTTTAATTTGTTTCCTTTGTTTTGAGTACTAACTTGTATAATGGGAATTGTTCCTGAATCTAGCACATTTTTACAAACAGAATCACAATGTGTATCATTGTTAGACCAGTGGATAAAAAGTAGGTAGTATAGTCCCCCCACTAACAGCTAGGCCCCACCCACTCCCCCTTTGCCACTGAATTTAGATCTGGTATGTTGCATAACGAAACAAATGTACATGTAAATAAATAATTTGCAAGTGAACACTTAAGAAATTACACAGAGTTCCTTTTCACAGCCCCCCCCCCCCTGCCCCGGGGCATTGCTTGGGGTTGAGGGTGGGATGTGACCACCCACCAATAACTTGCCTTTGTCGGAAATCATTGTCAAGTCGTCAAAAATCAATTGTTTGCAAGCCGCAATGAATAATAATGGCCATATCCATTGTCCTCTGATTGAAGTGCTTCCATTTATTTAAATGATGTCCAGTCCTCCCCACCCAGCTACGCCCGGCCCCTTCCCTTGCCACCAAATACAGATTTTGATTGATGT